TGAACTTTGCAAGTTTTCCAATGTTGTTTTTTTTCTGGCCGATTAAATCCAGCAAAGATTTTTTTGGGATTCAAATCCCCATTATTGAAATATTTATGTTTGGGATATAATATGCCTACATATTATAATATGAGTGATGCATGTATATGGCAATAAGCAATCAATTCTCTTGCTTTATTTGCAGATCAGAATTCAGCCTTGCTTGTAAATAAGGCAAGAAAATCGATTGCCTGTTGCCATTGTTCACTATTATTAAAATCGTTATCATCCTTGTCCAAAATAGGCTTTACAAGATTAAGGGGCTAAAATATGTTAATTTCCGAACTTTCTTTAATCAAATAATCTAGAAAAGGTCAGTGTCATACGCTCACCATGAAATGAGCATTGTATTACTCAAAATATCCTGTCTTGATGACGAAAATAGATTATTCAGTGATGATAATAAAGGATTCTTAGTTAGTCACAAAGTGTACTGAACTATAAGAAAACTCCACAAGAGGGTAACAAGTTAGACTTTCTCTTATTATCAAGAAGTTGACTGAAATGCAGAACAAAGTAGTTAAAGACATCCAAAATAGGTTGGAGGAATGATTAAGAAAGGCTTCACTTGCATACAGTTGACCTGCCAAGGGAGCTTTAAAAAGAATTATATATTGCAAATCGACTGCTTATATTATTATAGAGATGAGGCCCTAAATCAGCTATCACGAGAGTCTGCAGATGTCAAATGCTTTGGTTGTTAGCGTTCTCTAGAATTTTGTGAACGGTACTAAATGAGATGCAGTTCCCCTGGCCTATTAATTCATTAGCAGTATGCAGGAACTAATTAATATATTAGCTCAAGACTTGTCTTTTCAATCTTCTGGCTCAGGTGGCTAAAATGTAAAAATATATGAGTGAGAGTGTTAAATAGCTGAGCTTACTTGGCTTCAATTTTATCTTCATCTTTATTGCGCATCCGCTTCCTTCTAAAGTGCCTGAGATAAAGTCTCCTTCATGTTGACAGCATAGGTTGATGCCGTCATCCCCGATTCCAGCATTATCGCTAGCATATAATATGTTGAGCTCCCCCAGTTCTCCTGCGTTGAACTTTTTGATTTCTCGAATCCCGAGGCTCCATCCAATCCGTGTTTTGCTCATAGAAGTAAGGACCAAATCCTATTTTAAGAGAGTATTGGTCATAATGATTCTTCAATATTACATTTAGTAAAAATACAGAAGCTAATTAAAATTAGATTATAATTTCCCCCAACTCTTGAGAAAGAGCTATTGCAAGGGCAAAAGTTTGGTACGAAAGTATATTGTGGAATAGCTAAGAACAAAGCTAGATGGCAGTTAAATATATACTTGCTTTAGTTTCATTCGTTTTTCTGCTAATTATTAATAACATTGTTTTGGCACATCAGAATCGTTGAACTAAAGCGTGACCACAACAGAAAGTCAATCAATCCTTAAACTGGCCTTATGAAAACAGAATTATAGGATTTTGGCGGATACATAATAAAGTTAGAGGAATTTAAATACAAGTGCCGAATAAACTGCAGATTTAAAAAGTCCGCGAAACGAATTTTGCTTACAGTTTAGATAGAGCTCGATCAGAATGATATAATCTATTAATTCTTTCGTTAAATTTCCCTCCAATTGCTTCAGTCTTAAAAACATTATTTGCCAAGAAAAATTTGACAGTATAGACCTTCAAATTTGTGCATTCATCAAGCCAAAAATTATAGTTTGAGTCTAAAATTAATGAGAGATTCATCAGATAAATTGTATGCCTTAATTAGGTTTAAGCTTCATTGAGAGCACGGACTGCAAATAAATTAATGAATAAAATTGTTCAGTTTAGTAATAAGTAATATTACGATCAGCTCACCCTAATCAGAGTTGGCTTTCCTTCAGACTGTTCTAGGCAATCCGGAAGATAGCAATCAAAGCTCAACTTAAAGTTATCTGGCGTCATTTCGAGAGGCTTGCAAAGTCCCATGCCTCGTACTCTCCGGCAAAGCGTTCTTTCCATGCACTGGATCCCCTGTCTTCGGCGACATCTGATCCTGCTGCCCACCTGATCTAATGCTGCTAAACCGGAGTCTCTCCCATCACAAACACGAAAAGTGGGCAGGTTCAGCGTTTGGGTGAGGGAAGTCGGGCTTCCTGGGTCTGCAGTAGGCGGGAGTCGGGCCTGTGGCTGACCATTCACCAATGCGTCCAGTAGGAAGTCATGGGATGCAACCTAAATTAGGTATAAGTAAGCCGGTAATATTTGCTTTTATGCACCAATTTACTTTTGTGTGTACTAGCTATAATTTAAAGCCAATTCAAATATATTACATTTTAGGTTAGAACACCACGTAAAATTATAGTTTTTGGTCAAATACCTTTTGCCTAACGGCCTAAGCGTGTGGGAACAACAAGCATGGTACCATTAGTCAGAAAGGCTTTCAGCAAGTCCTTTATACTTTCTACTATTGCCAAGGTAGAAATGCTTTAACCGTTCATACCTTATACTACAATATTTACGGTTAATATAAAACAGTAAGTGTTCTTCTCCGCTGCCCACAAGCCTGCTCTGCTCTCCAGCAGAAAATACATTTCACAAGTATCTGATTGTCGTTTAAGATCTGGCTCCTAGTTGATACAAGTTTGACGCATCAAAAACTGCCCCGATACAATTTCTAATTCATGCAAATACGAAGTGTAAAAGATTCTAAACTCAGGTTCAATTACACAATTGAATAAAAGATGTGTAAGATGAGAATCGTGAATTGACCGAAGTAATAAGAAGCTGTGTGAGCTAGACTTACCTCTGTTGGCTGAAAAATAAACTGCCCTATGCGTCTAGAATTTGGCTGCAAAAGAACTCGGATCAACATAATCTTATTTTCCGATCTTTCCTGATGACTCAACAAAGGTGGGACTACGGAGCCCTCCGGCAGACATGGAAGACTGTAGTTTGCTCTTGAAGAATTTTGCCTTGTTTGGTTATGGCCGGCAATTAAATCTGTCGTGAAAGCCGAATTTTTCTCTAAACCACCTTCTTCCGGTCTGAAATCAAATCTGAAATCGTGGTGACGTCTTTGGTTCAAACGAAACTCGACAATCGCCTGAACTGGGCTTCGATTATAGAGCTCCAAAGGAAGACTGGCTACCGCCCCAATGTGCACATCTGAGTAAGACAAAAGATGCATATATGCGAATGCATCAATTTGTTATATTGGCTGATGTAAAATATTAAATAAGTAAAAGCATTTTCATGTATAGGCTAGATTAATAAATTGTGACACGAATTTCCATTTAGCAGGAAAAGTTATTTGGAAAGAATTCGTGAAATTGTTTCACCGAAAACTGAAGGAAGACTGCCGTAGAGTTAATACTATTAGAATGGGTGAAGAAGTCCTATGCCTACCGTCCTGCGATCTGGATGAACCTGTACCAAGCTTTTGTCCGTACAATCTTAGATGAAATCATCAGTGCAAGTATCCTTACTTTATGAAATAGCGCAAAAAATTGACTAAATCAAGAAAAAAAGTGCATAAACGTGACTAGGGCTGCGGTCGGCCACCTTTTCTCTTGGATTAGCATATTGCTGCATTATTTTGTAAAGTATAAATTCATGCTGTGATGATGGCTGCCACGGCTATACAGACGTAAGCTCAAAGCAGATTCATTGGGATTGTAGGACGGTGAGCCAATTATCTTTACTCCACAACACGCCTCTTTCAACTTCCGACGGGACCCTTTTACAAGCTCTTTCCAACCAACTTTTTCTTCGAAAAGCAAGGTAAAATTAGACAAAATCATTAAGGAATTCTTTACAACCCAATTTTCCTTCATATCTTTGACTAACCAATCTGGCAACGAAACTAAATGAAGATATGAAGACCAAAATGGTTTGGCCCTTGGTAGGGCCTTATTTTTGGGGAAATTAGGGCCTGATTGACAAAACGAAGGAGAGAGAGGCTGTTGAGCCTACATCCAAAAGAAGGCGACTTAACTTTTCCACTAAACGATGGTTCAAACTTTACTCATACTCGTCTAACAAGATAGATTAAGCTCATCAACCAAACCAGTCATACAAGATTACTGAGCCCCAGATTGCCTAATGACTCTAGACTAAGAGTTTAAGGCAAGTGGTTTTGTAACCTGACTTACACGCTTACGAACTTGCATATCAGTACCCCAACCATACTTGCTTACGGACTTACGCAATCTCGGTCAAGGCTTTTTCCTGGGTCACTAAGCCTTGACGACCAGAACCTGATATTAGGCTTTTATAAACGCTCTGAATTAAGACTGGTGTTACATATTATCGTTAACACACACATACAAGCGCACATAACACACACTTGAATAAAAGTAACATAAAAAATATGAAAGATTATTAGCCAACCCACTCTATATCTATTTATATCTATACATTTTTGTTCTTAGTTTACTGCATATATAAGAAGTAAGAGAGAGTCAAACAGTCTTCTTGACTTAGTACTGCAGTGAAACTTCTACAAGAATGAGTTCCAGCTCCGAGGATGTTCATCATATGGTGGACGAAAAATCAGCCGATTTTCATTTGAATTGAGGAAGGATGTCACATGGACTGCACCAGCCTGAACGTAGTATTAAGGTTAGACGGCTACAGTATAACGGAACGCAATAGTCGTCTTCTGTTGAGATCTCCCTTCGAATAGCTTCTTCATGCACTTTCATAGGAAATGAAAGCGTCCCCAAAAGTGTTATCTTAGGAGAATAATTAAAACCAAGTTACTCTCCGTAAATTAAGTAATTTACTCGCGTTATTGATTTTAACTATAAAGATTATTAATTACTAGTCTTCAAAAATTAGTGCCATTTATCTAATGTAACATACCATTATTCCATATTATTTTTCCATTCTAGGAATTGGAATATAAAAAGAAATTAATAATAGCCTAGGTAAAGTACTGGCTTGAAAGAATTATTTCATAATAATGTGAATGCTACTTTTTAAAGTGAAAATACTACATGCAATTTGTTCACATGAGGTCTTTGTATTAGTATATACAATCTTATTTATCTTGTTGTACTGATTCGTGATAACAAAATCAATGAACTAAAAGGGTGCTTTTCAGTTCTTTCCTGAACTTTATTTATTGCTCCTCTTTTATTCATCGGGTCAAATATATTATTTTGAAACTTATCTAACTAAAATGTCTAAGAAATCAATACAAAAGGGAGATTAGTAATTAAATCAAGGTATTTTATCACTAAAGTAAAGCCTCTTGCCTTTCTGTAGTTGAAGAAGTGGTGAATAGAATTTATTTTCGTCCATTGAATTCTGCGTAATTGATTTTTTCCTAAATTTAGGCTCTACAAAATATTTAGTTATTGAAAAATCTAGAGTTAATAAGTGTAATTATGGGACCTCAAGACTCAAAAGGTAGCTTTCTTGCCTTTAAATGTGCATGCTTGCTTTTCAAGTTCTGCTAGGCTGCTGACGAGACTTAGACAAAGGCAAAGGACATAAAGATAGAAGAAAAGATCTACTTGAATTTGTGAGTTAGTCAGAGACTATAGAAAATGTGAGCCTACTCTCCAATTCATTGTGAGTTCTTTAAAGATCCGTGACTGTCATTGGCACAATTTATCTGAAATCTGTTCCCTGATGGCACAGAATAGAGGTAAAGCAAAATAGGTCAAACTAAAATATTTTAATGACATCACTGTAATGCAAATGCTTTAAAAATCATTCGCATCACTAAAAAGCCGTCAACTTTACTAACGAATTCGTAAAAATATAAAGTAAAATGGATGCAATTAGGTAAGACTATGTAAGAATCTCTTCTTTCTTCAGCTTTTCAGGCCTATTGCTTGCCAATACAAATAGTTTTTGGCGCTGTGGAACTGCAATTTCAGAAAGCGAAGGTATGTATGCTATTCAGCCTAATAAAACTAAGAATGTGTAAGAGGATGCCTTCGCAACTAGACGGCATTGTGTAAAATCCTGTCG